ATGAGAGAGATAGAGGGAAAGAGAAAGAGAAAGAAAGAGAGAGAGAAAGAAGAGAGAGAGAGAGAGAGAGAGAGAGGGAGGGGAAGATGGAGAGAGAGAGAGAGCAAGAGAGAGAGTGTGAGAGAGATAAGAGAGATAGAGAGAAATGAGGGGACGGGACAAAGAGCCAAAAAGAGAAAGTGTGACAGTAAGGTAGGGGTAGGCACTAAAATCCGCTTAGAGATAACTTTTTGATAATATTTTGAATACAGAAAACGTCGTCGTTCAAAATAAATTCAAGAGTAAAAACAGAGACAGTGTGAGTATACTCTCCAGTCTTAGTGTTGTATGAGATGTAAGAAAATGTAATCAAGTAATTTACCGATGGTTCTATAACGTTTCTGTTCGATGGATTGCCTCGAGCGTTGAACACGTTTTATGAGGAGAGAGGGGAGGGTGCAACTTGAAGGGTCAGGTAAGAAATGTATCGCTTAGTGTATTGTTAACCAAGCATCCAGAAAATTGATGTTGGTGGTGGCAGTAACGCCAGTATGAAGATAGGCTGCTCTAAGAACTGTACATTTTGTGTGTCTGGTTTATTTATTAAAACTTTTCTTTTAACTACCTCAGCAAATAATAAAACCTTTGTAAATTTTTTGGGAGTGGTTTACTAACCAATGCTACGTTGCTTTGAAAATCAGAAATGTCCAAGATAACATTGTATTTACTCTGTTTGCTTTTTTGTATTCCAATACATTAATAAGCTCTAGATGGAACGTAAGAGAGTATTGCCATTCCCTGATAAGTCGAAGTTTTAACTTGCACTTCATATTATTGTTCCAAACATGTCGTTTTTTATGAAGGTATGTAACTATATTGTGATATATTGCAATGGAAGCTGCAATGTTGCTGCAAGTGATTAAGTTTGTGTTAGTGCAATGGCTCATCATAAACAAGAGGATATTAACATTGCTTATCTTGAGATGGAACATATAATTTAATTCCTGTAGGCTACTGTGCTTTTAACAATGATATATTATTCTTTTGGATTAAACTCTCTAACAAATTTTTAAAACTATATTTAACTCACTGTTACAGACACAGTTTTAAAGAAAACAGACCAATAGATCTATTTGCAATGCTCAGTGTTTTCGTAGTGTCCAGTTTTTTGGAGTTTTATTGTGACCCAGGAGAATGACCAATGCAACTTATACAAAAACATAATCATACATTTTAGGATCGTTCATATTAATAGTATGTTCATTGCATGTTTAAGAAGCTCATGGTCATTATTTATTTTCACACAAAGCACTTCGTAAGACCGACAGGATGTATTCATATCAACGTCCTTGAGAAAGCCAATCAAAATTGACATCGATTATATATGATTTTTCAATAATTCATAACCACCGTCTCACTCTGAGGGCTGTGCTTTTTTGCTAAGATGATTTAGAATACTAGCATTTTGTGAAGGGAACCGATTATTTTGATAAAGGAACCAGGGAGTATAGAGAGACAAGTGGTCTGCTCAGCACTAAACAGCGAAGGCTTTAAGTACACCGGATTGTTCTATGAATAATTCTATCACTTCGTTTGATAGCTAGTGCCATTAGTGCAAAACTAGGTTGTTTTTCTTCGTTTCTTTTCGAAAAAAAAACGAAGCCTAATCCTTACTTGATATTATTAAAGACATATGCAGTTTCTGGTGTTTCACGGTATTATATGGATTTCATGGTCCATTTTTTTCATAATGTAAAACTGCATACTTTTCAACCCCTGTTTTTGAGTGGAGGGAATCAAGTTTGTGGACATCATGAGACAACTCCTCATACAACCTGATTTGCGCGTACCGTGTTCAGGCATGTCGACCAGGGTCATCGTTTATATTTTATGCTAACATGATATCAGCTCAGCAAGAAATACGCCCGTCAGCAGCTCCAAACGTACAAAGCGTAATGAACTCAAACAAATTAAAGGGAAAAAAACAGCAACCAGTTAAACATAAACACATAGGCATTTTGAAATG